CTTTGGTTGAGGAATCTCCGTTGCCAAAGTTAGAATTCTGAAAAAGAATGTGTTTATGAGTTTGTGGGTAGCAAATGACTTAGCTTTTTAGTAGGATTATAGGGCTATTTATAGAGGAGTGGTCAACCCTATTTGGAGAGGAGTGACTGGCCCTATTTGGAGAGGAGTGGCCAGCCCTATTTGGAGAGTAGTGACTAGCCATATATGGTGTGATTGGGTGAATAGTTGCAAGATATTATGTGAAATAACTTGCAATTAACATAGCAATTAATCCTAAATTAAATAGGAAATTTGGGAGTTACCTTTTGAATAAGGATTTGATGAGGAAAGGGATTTTTACTACTACAATACAAGCTATCACCGGCGGAGCTAAATCCGACAAGAAACCCAATTTCTGTTGGAATTTAAGCACAAATCCGACATTAAACAATGTAATGTCGGATTGGCATAGCGACACTAATGCTAGCGTCACTAAAGGCTATCAGTGTCACTTTGTGCGCTTAATCCGACACTACACAACGTCGGTTTAAAGCGACACTGACTCTAACGTCGGTTTAAAGCGACGTAAACTAATAAAATAAACTATATAATATAGAAACTAGTGTCGGTTTATAGCGACGTAAGCTAATAAAATAAACTATATAATATAGAACCGTGTGTCGGTTCAGATAACATTTAAATAAATAAAATATTCAAATACAACTTCGATAGAAACAAAATAGAAAAATCCAAATATCAAAGTAAAAATCCTCCTAATGTAAAAATATCAAAGTAATCAAAAAACAAAAAAATCCAAATACAACTTCGATGGAAACAAAACAGATCAAAATTGGATTGAAAATAGATTCATGTTCCATTAAAATCCAAACTAAAAACGTTAAATTCCTGCACTTCGTCACCTAAATCTATCCAACCACCACCACACCAACCAACCAATTTACATAAATCCTCAATCTGAAACCCTAACAAACTAACCCCCGAACCCGTATAGAGTCCTGCCCTGCCTATTGAGCGCATAGACGACGTTCATCGCCGTCACTGTCTTCCTCCTGGCATGCTCGGTGTAAGTCACGGCGTCATTGATCACATTCTCCAAGAAGATTGATCCGCTTAACGCCGCCACGGTGAGCCAGACGGCGGATGGTGGGCTTTGTGATGCCCTGGATGTTGTCCCTCAGCACCTTTCTGTGCCTCTTGGCTCCTCCCTTGCCCAACCCATTGCCTCCCTTGCCGCGTCCAGTCATTGCTGCGGAAATGAAATTAGGGTTTGATTTGGGATCAGATATTTGAATTGAGAGAGCAAGTTACAGTGTCGGAGAGGTCAGGTGGAGGGGGTTTATATAGAGAGGTTTGGGAGCTTTGATACGTGGGTTGTGTTTCTTTACGTGAGATTTGGGGGGAACACGAGGACCGTGGATTGGGCGCAATCGACGGTTAAGGGTTGCAATCCGTGCCGTGGGTTTGGGTGATGGGTTTCTTTAAAATATTTTAAAAAATAATTTGTGTCGCTTTATAAAACCGACGCAAGTTTTAAAATATGTAAAAACCATAATTTGTGTCGCTTTAAAGCGACACCCATACTTTATGTCGCTTAAAAGCGACACTGTTTTTCTTAAAATATTTAAAAAAATAATTTGTGTCTCTTTATAGAACCGACGCAAGCTTTAAAATATTTAAAAACAATAATTTGTGTCGCTTTAAAGCGACACCCATACTTTATGTCGCTTAAAAGCGACACTGTTTTTCTTAAAGCGACGCCTGTATTTAAAAATTATTAAAATATATGTGCTTAAACTGACGTAGGAATTTTATGACGCTTAAAAGCGACAGTAAATCCGACGTTATGTTCAGTTAGTGTCGCAACTGTCTTATGCACCACTATATTATATTAAACCGACACCACGTACTGACACTATAAGGCCCTTTTGTAGTAGTAATTAATATCATTTTGATCACCTTTGACTCTTCCTTGATTGAACCGTTATTGTCTGTTGCACGTGTGTGGGAATCCTGATGTGTCTTGAGGGTAATTTTATCATTTTTACCCAAAAGTTCACGTGTGACCTCCATAATTTTCTTGATTATTTTTAGCTCTACAAATACATTTCCGAAAAGTAAAGCTAATATAGGCATCTTGGTTAAGCTAGTTCCCAAATAGGCCATAACAATCCGAGCGAAACTAATTGTGGTTAATAAGTTTGGTTAGGTTCAAGTTTACAATTTCTTAGTTGCACATATGAGTAATGTTAAGGAGATCACATTCAGTGAGTCATATTTGTACCTCATTTTAATAGAGGTAGGGGTCACCAATACAAATAGGCCACACTTGTATTAGAGAAGTGTTACTAATGTGGTCTTCCTACCATTTTCCTAAACGATTATAGCAACTCCACCAGCGAAGAATTGCCCTTTCAATTGGGTTTAATTGCCCCCCAACCCATTAAAAATTGCTCCAGCGGTTGCAAAACCAGTGGCAATTGATGCAAGGGCAGGCAGCATGGCAGATGCCCTGCCAATTGTTGCAAGGGGTAGGCACCATTTCTTTGCACCAGCAGACAACCGTGAGTCCAACCCACATGATGACCAAATGAGGCCAAACAACTATTTCAAGATGAAATGGAACCGTTGGAAGAAGTGATGAATAGCACATGAGAATAAGGTTTTGCTTGGAAGATGAGGAAGTTCCATACACTTCAAGGGAAGACGGACCAAGCCACACTGATTGTATCCCCTAGTTTAAAATTAATTATGTTTGCTGTAATGTGATAACTTTCAGTTGTATTTGAAATAATTTATTGGAATTAGACTTTAATTATGTTTGTTATAAACCCCACATTCATTACAAATTAAAAAAAAAATATATATATATATATATATATATATTTTTTTTTGTGAATAGTAATCGCCCTTGCGATTGTCCTTCTTCCACCCAAACTGGTGGAATTGCACAAAACCACTTACTGTTTAGAGTTAAAAGCAAGGGCAACTTTATTGCCCTCGCGCTCCAATTGTCATTGCCCTCCACCAACTGGTAGAGATGCTCTTATGCAAGACTTTAATTTCCCCATTTTGAATTTACTCATGCAACACACTTAACATACTCCTTAAGAGCAACTCCACCGTTGCTTATTGCCCTGGGGATAGGCAACTCAATCCACTCTCCACATTTCCCAAAACACTCCAGCCCACTCGGGCAATTGGGTTCAAGGTGAGCCCGGTGGAGAAGTTAGGCAATAATTGCCTGGCTTAGCAGCCTGCTTATGTAACATCTTACATCGCTCAGGAGAGTGGATCATGTAGGCCTTATATGTATATTCCCATCTCTACCTAGCACGAGGCCTTTTGGGAGCTAACTAGCTTCGAGTTCCGTTGGAACTCCAAAGTTCAGCGAGTTCGCGCGAGAGCAATCTCTCATGATGGGTGACCCACTGGGAAGTTCTTGTATGAGTTCCTAGAAACAAAACCGTGAGGCCGTGGTTGGGGCCCAAAGCGGACAATATTGTGCTATGGTAGAGTCGAGCCCGGGATGTGGTGGGGGCCCGGGCTAGGATGCTACAGCTTATGTGACGCAAGGCTGACGCCAGCCACAATTTAAATTATTAAAAAATTATAAAAAAACTAATTAAAAATATAAAAGGGAATTGTTATTAGCACTCCAAAAATCTTATTCTACACTCCAAACTTTCTATATTTAGAAAGAAAAATACACTTGTGAGGAGTGTAGAATGAGATTTTTGAAGTGCCAATAACACTTCCCATATAAAAATTATAAATTTTTTTCTATAAATGCCTAACAATGTTCTTCCACTTTACACTACATTTCAATATTTTTAAATAGTTTCAACCAATCTTTATTATTATTATCTGAAATTAAAAATAAAGTTATCTTTTATTATTTTATAAAATAAAAAAATACTAATATTTTAATACAAATTGCTTGAGCTATTCAGTTTAGGGTGGATATGCAATTTGGCAATTACTGTTCATTTAAGGAGATTGAGTTGCCTATTGCCAATAGGGGCTTTACTATATTGAAAGTGCTTTAAAGATTTTATTTTTGCGGTTCTTAAAATGATGGCATCACTAATATACCGGATTGTGATCACTTAACTTCTTGAGCCAGAAGGTCTTCCTAGTTATGTAAGGTCTTCCTAGTTATGTCCTAAATTATATAGGTGGCGCTTGTGGTATAACATGAAAGGTTGGAAAGTTTATGCGAGCTGGGGTCATGCATGTCCACCTCGTCCCACATGAAGGGTAAAAAGAGGCTAGCTACGTTTCACAGCATTTTTGTTTGGGGTGACTTTCAAATCGACCACGAAGCTTAAAAGTTCTCACATTGTCCCTAAAGATTTTAAGATTGTATCAATATACACATTTATTTGAATAAGACTCTTTAATTTTGGAGACATGTAAGTCACAATTGCACCACATCAACTAAAAAACTCATTAGCTTAATGAATATTTAAATGTTCAAATATCCAAAAAGTGTAAATTAATACAATTTCAAAACCTTAGGGTCAATGTGAAAAAATTAAGACCTTACAGCCTATTTTAAAAATCACCCCAGTAAAAGCCTAAGGACCTGGCTTTGTATAAATAGTATTGCTAGTCACCAGCCTAACTCCAGCCTTGGAACAAAAAAAGTTCAAAAGTATGAGTGAGCTAGATTAGGTCTAGCTTTTGTGTTCTTCTATCAGGATTTTCCAAACTGTTTTTTAAATTAGGATTCATCTCTTTTTTAACCATAGACATATTAGCTCTCCCATTAGTCGTTCTTATTGTCCTTGTCTCTCTTAAATCAGGTGGATGGATCTTAAATAGCTTGTGTACTCCCATACTGATCCATACGACAGGATATATGGATTCTTTTTCGCTTGTTCTCCAACTTTATGGGTCCAGTCCTCCATGGGTTAATTGTCTTCTTTTTAGGGTTAGGGTTTCTGCTTCTACAATCTGCATAATTTGCATGAGGAATCTCAAGACCATCAGTCAGAGTAAGTCAGTATTCGCGGGTGCAGCATCATCAAGATTCACATACAGGCAAGGGGGCTACCTTTATCGATCGAGTAAATTGTTACCGCACCAATAAGAATATTTCCTTCAACTTCCTTTTGTACTTGAAAGGTAGTTCCTTCGAAGTGGGAATCTTGATGATGCTGCATCAGCTGGTACATGACTATTTGGAATCTGCGTCGATGATCCCTGTGAAGAAGGTGAGAGAGCAATTTTTGAGGTGCCAGACAATTGATTTTTGGGGTTATTTTAGTTTTAAATCCTTTGAAGATTATTAGGTACTAGTATTAATCATGTCTTTATCTTCTACCATATGTTGTTTGCTTATCAGAATTAAGTTGACTAATGGATGAAACGTCACCGTAGGTGTATCCGGCAATTAATTTTTTCAATTTTGACCATCGATCGTAGATTAGCGGTGGTTAGATGTGTGAATCCATTCACAACGTGGAAATATAAACTTGATTCTGACGATAAGTCTGGCAAATGAAAATTAATTCAAATTCGGATTTTATATTATTTAATTAGCTCTTTACTAAGTTCTGCACTTCTGCTAGTGCTGCCTTTGATTCAAACGGACAGGTGTAAATATGAGATGATATGATCCAAAGCACCATCTTAATTTGCTCAATATTTTTGTTGTGTTATTGGTTTTCTAGGCATTTTTACACCACGAGAACATCAGAGCACCTGATGGATCTTCTGATTGGCCACCAGCAATGCACGAGGGCAGGGTAATACTTTAATCATGATTAGTAATGCTTCATATAATTTGTTGAATCTTTTCTGTTGCAGTCAGTAAAATTAATCTGTTGATCAACGTTTTACCTCAATACACCTCAACGGGTTTTAATTGTGTAAAAATCTTACTTAACCAACCCAGGTTATTACTTTTTAATCCTTATTTTTGTTGGAGGTGTATCACTTTGTTGTTATCACAATATTCTTCTGAAGTTTAGGAATTGGAGCTCTGATGTTTGTTTGATTCTCTTTGCTGAAAGACTAATGATGGGTTAGGTACGCAAGAATATTAATGTCAGGAATCTGATGTTTTATGGTTTACATCTGAAATCAGCTTTTAGTTTATACATGTCCTATGCCAATTCATGACATATGAAATACCTTTTGGCTTTGCTTGGTAAAGAGGATTAGCTTATGTAGTCCCATTCACTATATTGAAGACATTAAAAAAAAAAAGATGATAAATTTCTTATTTTGTCTAAGTTGAAGTTTACTTTTTTAAGTGAAAATATCCCTACTAATCACCACAAAAATGCTAGGATTAAAAAAGACAATTATTATTCATTAGTAACCTTCAACTTGGACAAAATAAGAAATTTGTCATTCATTTCTTCTTTTAAAATACCTTTAGTATAGTAAATAGTCATATACAAACCAATCCTCTATGTCAGACAAGACCTTTGTGCAATAAATAAACAAAAATATATATGAAGTATATTGATTCTGTGAGACTGTGATTATCATAAAGTAATGTGGTGGATGGTGAGTGAATAACCAAATTTATTAATTTCTCATCAGTTGAATGGAAAGTAGATTAACTTTTGTCTCTTATTTGAAGGCATGACTTGTGCAGTTTGATCAAGTTTTCGCAATTCAGGGTACCGTTTAGTGTGGAAAGTCTTTGCAATTGATCAAGTATATATAATCACGATCCTGATAAATCCCCTCTCAACAAAGTCAAGCTTTCACCCAGTAAAGGCTCAAGACCAGTGTCTGACAAAAGTTGGTAACCCTAATTTATCGAAGATCTAGATCCATTAATTCTGCATGAAAACTTGACTCTGCCTTTATTAGGTGATGTTTGTTTCCCACAAATCAGATGAGAGAGGACTAATTATTATTATCTTACATTATCAGTGCAGAGTAGATAAACCAAAATTTAGATTGGTATTGAAGGTTGATGGGAGAGAGTACAAGAAATAAACAAGAGTGAATGAAAGCAAAATGTTCAGAGAGAAAATAACTTATAGTAATTCTTTATATTTGGTTTTTAGTTTTTATTTTGTGTACTTTTCTTATTAAATTTCTTCTACATCTCTCCCACCAACCTTCCTCCATTAGAGCAAGTCCAGCCTTGCATGTAGGCCGGGGGACAGGGGAGAAGAAAGGGCCCGAGGGCCTGTCAATCAGCTCCAGCCATGAAGAGCCCGAGCTCGTGGAGAAGGCCCAAGCAAGAGGCCTGTCAATTTGTGACAGCCCGGTAGCCCGAGCTCCCAGCCCTTTTTTTATTTTTTTCTATCAGGCGCGTGCACCCCACTCGCGATTGGGGGCGCGTCGCCCGACACCTTTTCAGAAAAATCAGGCGCCTTTTGCAGTGTCTCAGTTACTGTTGGGAAGCCACGTGGCTTCCCACGGTTCGTTCGATCTCAACAGCTCCTTCATTTGGTCCGTTGGATTTCAACGGTAAAAATAAAAAATCTTATTTAATATCAACCGTTCGATCTGAGATCAACGGTCGATATTAATATGCTTTATAAATATAGAAAAAATAGTTTTAAAATTAAGAAAAGTTACCGTTGTGACACGTGGCACAATCTGGAGTGTTGGAATTCAAATTTTTTTAAATCCAACGGCAGAAATTAATTATTTGAAAAAAAAAAATTTTAAATGGAAAAAATTGTAAAAAATCTGAAAAAAAATTTGTAAATTTTTTTTTTTACTTTTCTATAAATACCACTTCTCCTCCATCTACCTTACACCACAATTTCATATTTTCTCAACCACTTTCAATCAAATTCCTATCTTTCTCTCAAAGTTTCAATTCAATTTTTTTCCACAAAATGACTACTGATGCAGGTACGAATTGGTCGCTTCTTGAAGATGTTGCGTTGTGCACTAGCTGGGTTGAAGTTACTCATAATTCCCTTACGGGTAATGAGATGCAGTTGCGATAAATGTGGAGTTTAATTCATAGCAAAGTTCTTGAGCAAATGAGTGGGAAAAGAACCAAAGAATCGATGTCCAATCGTTGGAAAATACTTAGCCATTCCTTTAGTACGTGGAGACATGCCTTGACACAAGCTAGTAGTAATGTTCGAAGTGGGGCAAATTATACGGATAAGGTAAGATTATTTGTTTGTATTATTTATTTGTTACCTAATTTCATTATTATTATTATTTGTTTGCATTATTTATTTGTGACCTAATTTCATTATTATTATTTGTTTGTATTATTTATTTGTTACCTAATAATTTCATTATTATTTTTATTTGTATTATTTTATTTGTTACCTAATTTCATTATTATTATTATTTGTTTGCATTATTTATTTGTGACCTAATTTCATTATTATATATTTTGTTTGCATTATTTATTTGTGACCTAATTTCATTATTATTATTTTTGTATTATTTTATTTGTGACCTAATTTCATTATTATTATTTGTTTGTATTATTTATTTGTTACCTAATAATTTCATTATTATTATTTGTTTGTATTATTTATTTGTTACCTAATAATTTCAATATTATTATTTGTAGCAACTTCAAGCACAAGCATGGTATGGTGCCAAAATCAAATCAAGAAACAAATCATTCACCCGGTGGGAATGTTGGAATATTGTTAAAGATTGTCCTAAATTCAAAGTTGTACTTGTTGGTCCAGAAGTATGCATGAACAACATCCCTCTACACAACACCTTTGTACACAACACCCTTCCACACTCTACACACAATCATGGCTCCCATGTTGATGAAGAAGATGGAGAAGAAGTGCCTGAAACGCCCATTCCTGAACAAGCGTCGGGGTCGACCCGTTATCCAATTAGGCCTCTAGGTAAGAAGGCTTCAAAGAGGAAAGGGAGTGCTTCCAAAAATGATTATGGAAAGTACATGCAAGAACTTGCTCATCAAGGTGAATTGACGTTGGCGCGGGAATTGGCGAAATATGAGGCTGACAAGGCTAGAGATGAGGTAAAAGCTGCAGCTATTCAACAAGCATTTCAAGCTGAACAGAGAGAAAAAGAGCTACTTAGGCAAGAAATGGAGTTTCTTAGAGAAGAAAGAATTGCACAACGAGATCGTGACATTATGAACACGCGTTTAGAAGGGATGTCTCCAAATTCTAAATATTTTTGGTAGTCGGAGAAAGCGGATGTGGTGCAAAGGAGGCGTGCAAGAGAAGCGAGATCAAGACAAGATGGTCCTAGCACAACAAGACAAGATGATCCTAACACCACAGATTGGTTAAGTGGTGAGGAATAGGGTACTTTTGTAATCGGAGCCCATAGTTTTCCAATCACTGTGGGTTGTAATTTATTATTTATGTTGTTTCCATTTTATTGAAGTTAGTACTTTATTTAAAGTGAGAGTACATGTATTTAATTTTGTAATATATTTATCCTAATAATAGAATCTTTGTTCATCAAATTGTTCACGTATAATGAAATTATAAAACACACCAAATAAAACTAAAAAACTCACCAATTGGAATTACATAAACACACCAAATAAAATTACATAAACATACCAAATAAAATTACATAAACATACGAAATAATAAAAAACTCACTACAAAAAACACACCAAATAAAAATACATAAACATACCAAATAATTCACACCAAATAAAATTACATAAACATACGAAATAATAAAAAACTCACTACAAAAAACACACCAAATAAAATTACATAAACATACCAAATAAAATTACATAAACGTACGAAATAATAAAAAACTCACTACAAAAAACACACCAAATAAAAATACATAAACATACCAAATAATTCACACCAAATAAAATTACATAAACATACGAAATAATAAAAAAACTCACTACAAAAAACACACACCAAATAAAAATACATAAACATACCAAATAATTCACACCAAATAAAATTACATAAACATACGAAATAATAAAAAACTCACTACAAAAAACACACCAAATAAAATTACATAAACACACCAAATACAAACAAACATACTAAATAAACTTAAGTATCTTCAGCTTGTTTCAATGCCCACTGGTGCTCTATCAAGTCAATTTGCCGATCATTGTGCATAGACGACCTTTGAAGTGCAGTATATCGTTGAATGACCCTTTCATTGTAACGTCCATCCCTTTCTAATGGCTCATGTTGCACGGGTTCTTCGGTGGCATCATGTGCACAATATATCCGTGTTCTTGAATTGTTCATCGT